TGATGTCGTTGGCAACACTGACGCGCTGCTGTGCGCCGCCCCGATGCCGCGCTGTGATCTTTGACAGCGGCTATCTCCGCCGCGCCGAGGCCGCCGTCGTCAGGGCAGTCCGCGCCGGAGCCGCGTCCCGCGCACACCATGCACCCCGCCATGCACGTGCGCCGCGACCAGCCCGACCAGCCCGACACCGCCATCGCCCTGGAGGAGGCCGAGCCGCGGCCGCCGCTGCCGCCGCTGCAGCCCGGCTACTCGTTCCGATCCACGACCGCGGACAGCGACGCGTCGTCGGCGACCTGGTCCGGGCCGTGCCCCTGCTTCTCGTGCTCGTGCTACTGCGTGGTGTGCGCCACGTCGCCGCTGCTCGTCGTCCTGGTGCTCGCCATGCTCGTGCTGGTGCTCGTGCTGCTCGCGTACCCCGTCGTGATCGTCTCCACCGCGCAGACACGCGCCGCCGCCCATGCCGCCGTGCCGTGAGGCCGTCAGCCCGTGAGGCGAGCCGCGGACACCGTTTAGTCCGATTCCAATTTTGGCGCCTGAGTGGCCCTTGTTTAAGAGCTGTCCGCCTGCCTGGTCCGACCCGCCTGCCTGCCAGTCTCGTCGGCCCGGCGCAGGGCCGCTGCCCCCGCCGCCCCCGCAGCCACCCCGGTTGATACTCTTATCAGGCATCGTGGAGGCCTGGGTCCCAGCGCCCCAGCCCAGGGGGTCAGCATCAGGGGTCCACCAGATACCCACGCTGTGGCGTCGCGTGGACGGGGCGGCCGCGGGACGGCACGGCACCGGCTTCAGCCGGACCCGACCCCTCGCGCGGACACCCCGGTCCTCTTCGCGGACCCCCGACCGCGACCCGGGACTCCACCGCGCACCTCCGCGTCGACGACGCCGGCGACGTCACTGCGCTCGGCCGGGCGCGCCGGACCCGCAGCGGACCCGCCGCGGCGATAACTAACTAGTGCACTTTTGGAGCGTGGCCGACACGGGCGACACGGCCGACATGGGCAGGGCCGGCAGGGCGTCCCAACCCAAGCGCCTCGTCACGTTCGAGATCGGCCACCCCGACGACGACGGCGACGACTTCGCCGCAGAATCATGCTGTGAGTGCTGCTGCCCTGCCCTGCTGTCTCCCTCGCACTCAGGTGGCGTCACCTTCGAGTGCGAGGGAGACAGCGCTATCCTCGCGATAGCCATTTTGCCGCCACCGCTGGGATTCCCTTCGGCCCGCCGGTCATGGCCGTGTTGTTGGGCAATATTCTGCGATACAGAACCAAGCGATCCGTTGTCATCCTGTTGAACAGGTGGAAGTGTCGATAATGTTATGTTTTTGTTGACAAAGAGAACTGTTGGTTCAAATTAATTGAGTGTTTGTTGTTTCTGCCTGACCGTCTTTTAATTCCGTCTGCCTCTGGTCGACTGTTGCTGTCACTAGACCTGCCAAGGAATCCCCCTGTTCTCTTAAATAGCTTCAGAGACAGCGTTCGAGAAAGAGTTGTCATTTGCGCCGTTTTTCTGATCGTTCCGTCTCTCTCTCCCTGACGCCTCTCTCTCCCCCGGCCGGCTGAATGGGGTGAGGTGGCTCGCCGCCGTGACGCCAGCAGCACGCCGCGGCACTTTGTTATCACCGCCAATAATTAGATATTATTTGCGCGCTTCTTTTGGCGGCACTGCCTGGGGTTGGCGCCCGCCGGCCGGCCCCGCCCGCCCCTCGCAGTGCACACTGTACAATCTGATATCTAAATGGAGCGGTCGGACGAAATTTTCCTCGTGGAGGAAAACATGAAAGAGGGACGGTTCGATAGAGTGTTCCGACACGCCTTAATCGGATGAAGAGACCCGAACGCTCCTCCTCCTCGGCTGCTTCCGGTTGGCGATGAGAAATCGCGGTGCGCGCGCACCGAAGAAACGCTCTTTTGGCAGAAAAACTCTCTTGCACGGTGAAACCATCTTACTTTCCTGTGAATCCCAGGAGACGGATTTACCGTGTGGGCCAAGAACATCTTGAAAGAGGTTTTGACTTTGACTGAGGTGAATGGCCATTCTTTGCTCCTGCACGTAGACTACGTACAGTGCAGGCGAACAAATGAACGGCCGGTCAGTCCGTCTTTGTTGCACACAAAGCCCCTCGGCCGGCGAGTCGCCGTCCTCTGCCGGTGGCGCCAATGGCCGGCACCAAGCCCGGCACCAAGCCCGGCACCTTGCCGCCAACGACTTGTCAGCGACAACCCGAAGCCCAGGCCGGCTAAACGGCCGATTGTCTGGCCGTTTCGGGCTGGGCCGGGCCCACGTGAGGAGCCACAAGGTGCCACAAGGTGCCACAAGGCCGTGAGCTATTGGTATGGGTAGCACGCGTCGCATGCTCTGCTGGGTCAGGAACGCAGCGCCGCGTACCGCCGCCTTTGGAAGCGGCAATGCCTCCGACCTGCACGCCGTGAGTCAGACGTCATCGGGGAAGCGGACTTTAAAAAAGGGGAAGGGGGCGCAGTGGGGCAGAAGACCGGTGGGGGCGGCCAAAACTCCTGCACGCGTTTTGAGCTCGAGGGCGCAAGACAGGACTCGAAACGAGCGCCAGACCCCACCAATGGATTCCTCGTGCGGAGAGCAACCCATTGGTGGGTCATACGTTCAGTTCGAGCCCCATTTAGCTACTCTAGCTCAAAACGCGTCTGGGAGTCTGGCCCACACTGTGCCTCCCACCACAAAGGACATGGTTAGAAAAAATACTGTTAGTCAACGCACTTCTTTTTTTACAGTGCGTTTAGCTTTTCTTCCTCGTGCCAACATTCTCTCATGCAGCTCGCACTTCCTCCTTGTTAACAAAATCGTTCCGAGCCGGCGAGCTGGAAAAGGTGGGGACAGGCGCGGTGACGTGATTGAGACAGACTGCTCGCGAGAATGTCAGAGGTGTTGCACGCTGCGTGTTCCAGTCGCGCCAAAGCGGAAAGTCAAGAGAGAGAAAGAGAGAGACCCTCCTCGGCGCCGGTATAGAGCTCCCGCTGGAGTGGGCTTCAGCCGGCTTCAGCACAGAACCACGTTGTCTGCTTTATTTACAAGCATTGGATGGCAAACGCTATCTCTCTCGGTTCGATTCGCTCGCGCCACGGCACTGTATTAGCTCTGCGCGCGATTTCCCTTCGCTGCCAGCGGAATTCAAATTGTGACATGACACGCGCGATAACAGTCAGCGCCTTGGCTTCCTCGACCTCATTTATGCATTTCCAGAAGAGAAAAAACGATCTATGTTTGAGTGACAGGCTGGAAGCTGTTGGTGGCACTTGTGTGCATCCAACCGCAATTTTCTTCACACCCGTCCAATGGATGATGGTTTAGTGTCTTCCTCCCCACCCTAACTGTGAAAATTTTGGCTGTCACTTGATGAAATTTTAAGGCTTTCTTTCATCCAAGATTGTCGCTAGGGACACGTTATGCAATTGGTGTAGGAGCTTTGATGAACGTGTTATCTGATTCCGATGGCATTGACACCATTTTCGTGAGATGGAAACGGCATCCACGATTTTGTCATGTGGTAACAACAGGCGGTGCTTTACCGCGAATCGCTCCCGTTCGCGCTCGGCCCTGGAAGCACTGCCGAGTAACGGCAGCACACTGATTTATGCGACTGCGCCGCCGAAGGACAAAGCGCCGATGGAGGTGATAACGGGGCACCGCGTGTTTACATTTGTCATATCGACGGCCGCATTGTGGCGCGGGAAATAATAACGAAGACGAATCGTCTCAGCTGAGATGGTGTGTTCCTATCGCATAAGCGCGCTGGCCGTGACTAGTGAGTGGCATTCCCTGGTTCACCCACTACTTCCGCGCCATCCTCGGCCGGCATGTCGTTTGATGGGAAGCAACCGTAAAGCCTCATCCGCGCGGAGCTCACGCGGCTCATCCTTCGAGATCTCTTCATTACCAGGCATTTTTATATCTGCCAGGTCAAAGTTTTGTTTCAACATTTTTACTTGGTTTAAGATGCTCAAAAATTCTAGCCAAGTGAAATTGGTTGGATGAATAATTTTCTTCTGACTCAATTGAAAATTTATTTTGAAAACCAAGTGCATCTCTTCCAGTCGAACGGACATGTTTTTGGTTTTCTTCCACCACAAATCTGATTTTGTTTCAAGGAGTAAGGAACTGTAGTGAATGTGGTCACTCACGTGCAATTCCTTGTTAACAACATCAATGACCACGTTGACGAAAGGTATAGCCGGGGTGCGCTATTCTGCCGGAGGCGGAGGAGCCTTCTTTCCTGGTGCATCTGTTTACTCCGAGTTTGGCATGATCAGGGCCAAGGGCGAGCTCCCCGCGAGTCCTGCGAGTCCTCGATGCGGCGATAGCGCTCTATTGTAATTATCCTGGACGTCGTGCCATGCGCTCCCTGCCATGCGCTCCCTGCCATGCAGGGCCCATGTGACACAGCCGCCTTGCATTCGGCCAAGGCTGCTTGCTCCTCCGTTTGGCCGTTGCATAAGGCTCATTAGCTGGGCTGACACTTCTTCTCAATGAAGCCATGATGTGCGGTCGGCCGTTTGTTACGGGTTCCGCCGCGACTGCTGCATTCTGCTTCCCTCGGCGCGCTTCGCCGCGAGGGGCGGGACCAGGTAGCGCCGGGGAGGTGCACGCCGCCGTGGCGTGGCCGTCCGCTATGCCTCCGCATTGCAGCCGCCCATTCTTTTATAGTGAAACCGTCGCAGCCGGTTGCATCAGGAATTAGAGCAGAGCAGTGCCTGTATTTTTCCTCGTTGTGACGGCCCGCGTTTCTTGTAATCTAGAATCGTGCGTGGGACTTGATGTGGGTAGCGTTGTAAAGCTATAACCTCAATGCGATACTCATGCAGGAGAATCAAAGCTCAGGCACAACTTTAAATCATCTTCAGCTTTATAGTGACAAAAGTCAGAAAAAGATTAACCAAAAAGAATTAATCGATTAGCCTGCTTAGGCGTCTACGTTTGCAAAAACTGAAACTCCGCCCAATAATTGAGACTTTATGTCTGTTGGCTTCCAGTTCCCATGGCGTCGGCGATGGAGGACGAGAAGTCGCCCCCGCTGGAGGAGAGTGACCACATCTGCGACGCCATCGGCGGCTTCGGCCGGTGGCAGCTCAAGCTGACGTTTCTGCTGTCGCTCGTCAACATCCCCTGCACGTGGCACATCTTCGTGCCCACGTTCCAGGTCCCCGCCACCGACGACTTTTGGTGCCTCAGACCGCCCGCCCTCAAGACCCTCACCAGCGACCTGTGGATCAACATCAGCCACCCCTACATCCTCGACAAGGTAATCGACGCAGAGACTCTCAGTAGTAAGGGTGCCCCAATGTTACCCGCCGCCATCTTGGCTAACCTTCGGCCCCGTAGTTCCACTCTTCTCTACTTGTCGACATTTGGAATCGAACTCTTTTCTTCTACCGACACTGACAGTGAGGTTGCCACAGCGAGGCAGACCAAGAGAAACGCCTCCACGTTGTGACGTGTCGGCCAGCAAACGAAACTAACCATTGGTCAGCGCTAAACCCCAGCACTCTATGGCTGCGGTGCGGAGAGACTTTCATAACCCGAAACAGTACACCACGCGCGCACACACACATGCGCACAACTCGGGGGTACTTGCACATAACGAGCAGACGACGGCACGTTGTACTTATAGAGAACTTCAACGAGCCCGGGACTGAACGTGCAAAACGTCAAGCAGTCGAAACTAGAAACAAACAACCCGTTTAAAGCGAAAAATATATTTTGCGTAAGTGCGGAGACTGGATCGGTTTACAGTGCAATGCGATCAGCACCGAGGGGTATGCAGTGCCGTGCCGTCTCAACTGCACTTGTGCGGCCGCATTGCGGCGGTGCATGTCGAGCTTGTGTTTGTGTTTCGATCGTGATCTGTCTCATTGCGTGAATGGTATAACCAGGTACTCGCGCGAGGCGCCGGCACAGGTACACTGCACGCACCCATCTAACGGCAGTTTTCTGAAGATTTCCTACTCACAGAACGATTCTCTTTGCCCTCCTATTACCTTGTTAATTTTTTTTCAGTTGAGAAAACTTGTTCCAAATCTAAAGCAAAATTCAAATTAAGTTATCTGAATTTTTAATTTCACAGTTTTGTGAAATTAAAATTAATATTCTCAGGTAGGGGGAGTCTTACTTTTTTAGCATGACGGTCAACACTTCCGTCATAGCAGTTTTTTTTTGTGATTTGTAGAAAGTCGTCTTTTGCTTCTGCAATTATAAAGTAAATGATTCCGTTCGAAAATGAAATGTTTTAACGGTGCACGCGGTGTCGATACGCGTGCGCTTGTAAGGCTGCGACAAAGGCTCAGCACGCACCCGCGTCGTGGCGTGGCGCGTCGTGGTGCGTCGTGGCGCAGCGTGGCGCTGGACAGACTGGACACGGACGCCGCGGCGCCGCCAAGGACGCACTTTCACCGGGGATTATGCGAGACTGGCGCGGCCGGCTCGTTGCGAAGAGCAAAGAATGGCAGTGTTTGACGAGACCTGCACGGCCCCCTTCTGTTTGGGTTCCTTGTGACAGCCGCGACGAAAAAAGGGGGCGGACTTAGTGCTGTAAAAAGCACAACTTGGTCTCTAGATTAGAGCTCGCTTTCGTGATAAGGTAAATAAACATGTGCTCGGGAGCGCCTGTGAAGCTGCTGAAGGAGCTCTGCACAGCACCGCTGTTCGGCGGGCTTGCCTACCCTGGAGTTCACAGGCGCTCTCCGCCCTTAATGCATCCCCTCTCTCGCCCTGCAGGACGGCCAGCTGCGGTACGACCGGTGCAACGTCTTCGACGTGGACTACTCGAGGCTGTCCATGTTCGGCGCCTCGTCGATCGAGAGCGCCGCCGCCCTGCTGCAGCGCGACAACTCGACGCCGACGAGGCCGTGCTCCAAGTGGGAGTTCAACAGCACGCTGGGGTACACGCTGCTGCAGGAGGTACGGCCGTTGGCGTTTGCCGCTGGATCTCCAGCTCGCGTCGTCTAATGTCACCGGTCGGCGTTTCAGTGGGACTTGGTGTGCGACCGGGCCCACCTCAAGGACACCGCCGAGATGACGTTCCTGGCCGGCGTCGCCCTGGGCGGCTTGGTGTCCGGCATGATCTCCGACAAGTGAGTCCTCGTCCTCTGGCGGTAAGCCCCTGTCGCCGCGCGTGCCAACCCCGGCCGTCTCTGTCGGCAGATTCGGCCGAAAGAAGACCCTGCTGAGCTCCCTCATCGCCCAGATCATGGTCGGCACCATCATCGCCTTCAACCCCTGGTTCGAGGCGCACTGCGTGCTCCGCTTCTTCCTCGGCTTCATCTCCGTCGGCATCGTCTTCAGCGGCTTCGTCCTGTGTACGCGAACGCGGAACCCGAGGGGAAGCCGGTCTATTGCAGTCGGCTATGTTGTGGAAAAACGGCCAAAAACTTTTTTAAAAAAAATCGAATAAATTTATCTGAATTTATTTATTACCATGCTAATGGCTAAATTTCGATGAAAAATTGAAAGGGTACTCTTGGATTTAAAATGATAAAACTCGGAGAAGCAAACCACATTTTAGTTGCTGGCACTCCCAGTATTGTCGTTGACGAGACTCTGCTTGCAGGTATGGAGGTGGTGGGCGGCAAGTGGCGCACCATCTCCGGCGTGTCGTACCTGTTCCCGGTGCCGCTCAGCTACATCATGATAGCCGGCATTGCCTACCTGGTGCGCGACTGGCGCTCCATCCAGCTCGCCATCACGCTGCCTGCCATCACGCTGCTGTCCTTCTTCTGGTGTGTACGCGCCGTTCTCTCGATGACGGCCTTTGGAACTCTGAGTCTGATCCAGAGCTAGCCTTCCAGAGGGGAAAGTAACACTTTGTGCCTACTTGCAGGGGCAAAGTGTGCCTTCCCCTCTGTCTTTCAGGCGGCTGTATAGGGACCAGGGGGTTCAATTGTCTGTCCTTCCACCCCCGACTGGATCCGCACCTGTTCAAACCGGGTTTTTCCTCCCCCAGGATCATGCCGGAGTCGCCGCGCTGGCTGCTGTCCGTGGGCCGCAAGGACCTCGTGGTGCCCATCCTGCAGGACGCGGCCAGGACCAACAAGCTGACGCTGCCCGCCAGCCTGGACAAGCAGCTGCAGCAGGTACACTGTGGGGCGGGCGCTGCACTGTAACCCCGCGCCGCGGCGGTGGAGCCACCCTCGCCGGCCGCGGTGAAAGCTGTCTGAGCGGGACCCAAGGTCAGGCGACTTGCCCGGCCGGCCGGGGCGTGGGTCAACATCCTGCCGGTGAGGCAAGGTGAAGGTGACAGCCCGTCCGCGTCGCCGCGTCCACGCCCCCCCCCCCCCCCCCCCACGTGCACACGTGCGTGGTGGTGCAACGTGCTGCACGACCGGCCGCACGACGCCGCGGACGCCGCCGGGGGAACGGCCTCAGCCCTGCCGGCCTGCCGGGCCAGCCGGGGCAACAGCCGGACACTTGCAGAGTGGAATCTCCTGTGACGCGACGCCGCGCCACTGTCGCACAGTGGGCCAGAAGACCCGTGGAGGCGGCCAAAACCCTAGACGCGTTTTGAGCTCCAGCGTCGCTAAATGGGACTCGAATCGAACGTGTGACCCCACCAATGGATTGCTCTCCGAATGAGGAATCCATTGGTGGGGTCACACGTTCGGTTCGAGTCCCATTTAGCGACTCTGGAGCTCAAAACGCGTCTGGAGTTTTGGCCGCCTCCACCGGTCTTCTGGCCCACTGTGCCGCCCGCGCCACTGTCGGGAGCAACGACGTGTTTTATTTTTAAAACCGATTGCTCCGGGACTCCCAGCCCAGCCCGGGACGGCAGGCAGCCTGTATTGAGGAAGACGGAAGCGGCTGCGCGGCTGCAGTGACCTGCAACGCATGCTGAGCGCGCCGCGTCCGCCGTCCACCTTGTCGGAAGAGGAGCACACTCTCGCTCTGTCTCTCTCGTACTCGCGGGCCGGCCCGTCGCGGGTGCGAGAGAGACAGACGACCCTTCGGCATGATCGCTCGGCAGCAGAAGGACTCGTGTGACGAGTGGGAGTCGGAGGCGTGGACCCGAGCGCTAGCGGACGCCGTCGGGGGGAGCCGAACCAACTGAACGCGTTAGGCGGAAACGCGTCGTCGTCCTGACGGTCCTGAGCGGCGCAGACCGACTTCCTGGCCGCCACATCCGAACCGGTTCTCCAGAACACTCGCTCGCCGACCCCACCCTCTCTCTCGCACACCGCTCGCCTCCCCCGCGGCCCCACCGCCCGGCCGAGCGCCCGGCCCTGCCCAACTGAGTCACTATGCTAGACGCGACGACGCGAGACTCAAGGCGATCTAAAAGCTGGGTCACGTCTAATCAGCCCAGCACGTGTCTGCACGGCCCCGTCTCGCCTCTGTCTCTCTCGCACGCACGGGACGCTCCGGCTGGGAGCGAGAGAGACAGAGCGACGAAGCGCTCGACTCCCTTCCGTTTCCAGTGCGGAATCCATACCGCCTTCGCGCCGCCCGGGGATTTTCCCCAACATGCTTGTTCTCATTTTTTATCGTGTTCGCTCTTCGTTTTGCGGTGGGCGCGACGCGACACCCCCACCATTGTAATTGCAGTTCGTGACTCCCGGATGTGTTGCCGTTTGCAGGAGTGCACCCCGACGGCGGAGGACTCTGCCGGTGTGCTGGACCTGTTCCGGACGCCACACATCCGGAAGATCTCCCTGCTGCTGTACGTCATCTGGTTCTCCGTGTACCTGGCGTACTACGGCCTGGTGCTCAACATCAACCAGTTCGCCGGGGACCCCTACGTCAACACCGTCCTGTCAGGTGCTGACCCCCTTCCGATCACTCGTGACTCTGTCTCTCTCGCACTCGCGGGGTGCCCCGTCGGGGCCGTGCGGGTGCGAGAGAGACAGAGCGTCAACTGACCAACGCCCTGCTGCAGGTGTGGTGGAGGTGCCGTCCATCGCGCTCAGCATCCTGATCCTGCTCAAGATGGGCCGGCGGTGGCCGTGCTGCCTGACGCTGGTGGTGGGCGGCGTGGCCTGCCTGCTGACGCTCCTCGTGCCCCCCAGCACGCAGCAGGCCAGCACCGCGCTCGCCATGGTGGCCAAGTTCTCGGTGTCGGCCAGCAACGCCATCATGCCCGTGTTCACGGCCGAGCTGTTCCCCACCGTGGTGCGCAACGTGGGCGTCGGCGCCAGCAACGTCCCCGCCGGCATCGCGCTCATGCTCACGCCGTACCTCTGGAACCTGGTGGGGAGCCGCCCCTCGCCCCACACCGCCAGAAGACCGGTGGAGGCGGCCAAAGACGCGTTTTGAGCTCCAGAGTCGCTTAATGGGACTGGACCCGAACGTTTGTCCCCACCAATGGATTTGCCGTTCGAAGAACAATCCATTGGTGGGGTCACACGTTCGGTTCGAGTCCCATTTAGCGGCTCTGGACCTCAAAACCCGTCCGGGATTGGCCACCTCCACCGAAATCTTCTGGCCCACTGTGCGCTCTTGTCTTCCCTGTCGGTATTCTGATTCCAAGAGTCGTTGTCGTCGCGCTGTCTCTCTCGCACCTGTCCGGGACGCCCCGTGAGTGCGAGGAAGACAGAGCGACGAAAACGCCTGTCGCAATGCTGACGCTGGCTCCCGTTGCAGGCGACGTTCGGCGCCGGTGTGCCCATGACGGTGATCGGGGCCATCTCGCTGCTGGGCGGCTTCACGGCGCTGCTGCTGCCCGAGACGGCCAACGTGCCCATGCCGCAGACCATCCAGGAAGGGGAGGCCAGGGGGAAGACCATGTGAGTGGGCGTGACTGGGCGGTGAACCTGAGGGGAACCTCCCTCCACCCCGCCAAAAAAACTGCAAGCAGGCCCTAGACCTACTACGCGCTGATTCCGAGCAGGTAGTGCGGTCTCTCTGGCACGCCCCACGAGTTGGAGTTCAAGTGCAAGCGAGAGACGGAGGCCTGCGGTAATTAGAACAATGAGGCCGCTCGCGTGGCGCGTCCAGGGTGCCGCCCACCAGCACGCTGCTCTTGATGGCCACCTCCGCGTGGGAACAGGCGGGACAGCCAGCCAGCCAGCCAGCCACGCGCGCGGCCGTCAAGCGACCGTCCGCGAGCGAATTTCGAATCGCGGTGTCAGATTCACTAACCATGGATTCACCCCGCCAGCAGACTGATTTCTCTCGGTCTCGCATTGGTGGGGCGTGCCGCATGGGCGCGAGAGAGACAGGCGACTGCCCGCTCGGGTTGGTGTGAAGTGAGGCCCTCGCGGCGTCAGGGCCGGTCACCGCGTCGCAGCCAGTGCATGCACTGCAGTGCGGAGTGGTTTACGGTTTATGAAACACCTTGATGGCGACTCTGGCTCGGCGCCACGACGCCTAGCCGCCATGCGAGAGGCATTCGCTGCCAAATGAAGCGGAGCGCGCGGCGAGGCGGTGCCTGGCAAGGCGGTGGCGGCGCCCTGGCGGTAGGCAACCCATCCAGCACCACGCCACGCAGCGCCTGACGCGCAGGCCTCCCTTCCCACCAACTAGCTGCGCGTTGGGTGGCCGACGCTGCCGGCGTTGGGACTGCCGATGCCTTTGCGCGTCCACTGTTCTTGAAATGTTTCGACTTCCACCCCTTCTAAGAAAACCATCCCAATTCGCCGGGGCGCTGGGGTAGGTTTTGTGTGAGAGGATGGTTTCCCTGCGCTCCGGCGAGATAGGATGGTTTACTGTGGCGTGGTCGGCGTGCCTGCCTTGCTCTGACACTGTTCCCGTGCTGCAGCGCCGCCCCGAACAAGTCCGCGTCCTCGCTGTCCGCCAACGGCGACGCCGCCGAGAGGACCAACAGCGTGGCCAGCAACGGCTTCGTGTCGTAGACTCGCCGCCCTGGACGACGACGTCGTCTCCTCCACTGCCTGGCCCAGCCGGGCCCGTCAGGACCCTCTGGACCGCTCAAGCCACAACGCAGCGACCCTGCACTCGAAAAAGTGCCGAACGTCGCCCCGCCGCCTTTCTCCACTCGTCGCGGACGAGTCACCTTCGGGTGAATCCGAATGTGAACCTGGTCCGCCCACGAGGTGGAGTCACTTGAGTGGTGCCCGGCTCTCGGTCCCTGTTTTCCCCAGTGAAGTGAACAAAGTGATGCAGATGGAAATGGACGCCAATGAGCGCAACGCAAACAGTGCCTTAAAAAAAAAAGAGTGTGGCAGTCGAGCTCAAGTCCGCCTCGTGCCAAACATTTTTCAAACGGCGGCAATTTGGAAATCTCACTGGATGACTTTTCGTGTGATTGATTTATCGGTGATTACTACTGTGTTGTTTTGTGTTTTCGTCGTGCGAGTCTTGTACATTGTGCGTGCAGTGCGTAAGCGTGCGAATGTGTGAGTGCTTGTGTGAGCGTGTGTGTGTGTGTGTGTGTGAGTGCGCGAGAGGGAGGAAAAGCAACCTCACGCGGTATTGATAGACAATACCTTTCATCTCTATTTTTATTTTTTTAAATTGATGTGTGTGCGTTTCGGTACCTTTTTACCGAGGTAAAGCTCTCTGTGGGACGGTACGGCCATCGAATAGACCCGCACTCCCATTAGCAACATCGATATTCTCCTGTGCCTTTTGTGGTTGTTGTTTAAATCGTGTGTTTTTGATTTTGATTAACATGTTTTCGAGTTACACACTACCTGGGGTACTGTGGCTAACCCTGCGTACCTGCCCCTGGTCCTGGCAGCGATGCAGTCCTCATGTTTGGACATTTTCAAGCAAAGACTGGCGCCTACTGAGGACCGACGCCATCCTAAGAACTCTTCGATGACTGTCGAAACTCGTTCTCCCTAATTAGCACACTTCGTTACTTAATTAATCCTCGAAGCTTTATTTTAGTGTTTTAATAAGTTAGTGTTTTGTTACCGCCTCACCTGCAATATTTAAGTTACCCACCGCGTTGCTTCGCGTTCAGTGCTTCGGAGTAGCGCCGCTGCAAGGCTGCAGTCGGGCGACTCCCTACTTACGACGTGTTTTATCATTAAGTTTGTGATACTTGTGTATAAACAGCATCCCTGTAGTCTCTTTGTCAACCTCGTTGTACACGTAGTCCGTACTTTTTTTGTCATTAAAGCGTCATTTCATTAAACCCTGCCTTTATTCCCCCTCCCCTTTTTTATTCCAGTGAAAGTGAAACAAGGAGAGCACTGTGCCGCGACACTACACTTTATTTCAGGCCATCCCGACTGACCAGACGCCGCCGCCTCGCTGCCAGGCCCCGTCTGTCTCTCTCGCACCCTTCCGGGGCGCCCCGAGAGTGTGCCAGAGACAGACGGTGTAGCGGGGCGCACGTGTGGTCAGCTCACCGCGGTGGCCGCGCCGCCACGCCTCCCTTCACCCACAGTTTTCCTTTCACTTTCCTCGAGGTTTTCGTTGTTTTTCTCGCCGTTTGTTGCGTTTTCCACGACGATCTGGTTGACGAGGTGAGTGGCTGCTGCAGCACGCGAGCGACAAGAAAAGCGCAGAAGGTTTAAGGACGACAGGTAAGGACGAGAAGCAAGGAGATAAGGTAGACGCTTCCCCCTCCCCTCCTCCTGGATGCCGGCGGGCAGGACTCTTCCTTTTGTTGTGGTGCCTCGCTGGCCGGCTAGGCCGAGGCTAGGCCGAGGCTGGCAGGGAGGCTAGGCGAGCCGCTAGGCGAGGCTAGGCGAGGCTGCGGGCAGAGGCTAGGCGAGGCTAAAGCACGAGGCTCAGGCACGAGGCTAGGCTAGGCGCAGCCTGCAGGCGGCCAGCGCGCCAGCGCCCCCCGAATCTAACACACTCACACATGCATGCTACCGCCACCGCCGCAACTGCAGCAGCCCCCGCCTGCCCCCGCCCCTTCACCGGCAGGTTAGTGAGGGAGAGGGGAGGGGAGGGGGGTTGGCCATTCACCCCCATCCCAGTCAAACCTGCCTGCTGGCCACTGCCGGGCCAGACTAGTGCCAGACTAGCGCCAGACCTAGTACGTACGGCTCCACGATGATGGCTCGAAGGACACCCTCGCGGCCCGGCCCAGCTCGCGGGTCTGAGTCTTTCTCGCCGGCCGGACGCAGACGTACATTATTGGATGAAAGCGCATTACACTGCATCACTGCTAGGCACTTCACCGAACAGGCCGGGCCCTTCAGTGCCGGCACTGGAAATATCTGTCACTTTTTAATGCAGCGGTGGCTCACAGATGATCGAGTCCACATTATCGGGAGGACCGTTGCCTAGGCTGCGTCAACTACTGCCTGTCCGCTCGTTTGGAAATGGGAGGCAACTTTCCTCCTTCCTTGGTTCTTCTCCTCAGCAGCAAACTCCGCGTTTGAGGCACCCTGTTTTGCCGACTGCGCGGACTCCGCAGACGCGGCGAGCTCCGGGCGAACCCAATCCAATCCAACAGATTAGCAGCGCATTCCGCCCGCCTCGCCATTCAGGGCGTTGCAGGCTGCTTCCGAGGCGGCCCCGTCGCTCCGTCTCTCTCGCACTCCCAAGGGGCGCCGCACGAGTGTGTGAGAGAGAAGCCTCCAAGCTAGGACGCTCTGCAGAGGCAGCCAGGGGCTCTCATTGTTGTCTGTACCGCCTGTTGCTTCGACTACAGTCCGGGCTCTCCTTTCATGCCCTCTCCCCTCTCTCTCTCCAGCCCCCGCCTGTCTCTCCCGGGTTCAAACGCCGAGGCGTACGAAGAGACCCGGGCCCAAAGTAACCTGCACGCCGAGAGCGCCCCCCCCCCTCCCCCCGGCCCGGCCCGGCCGTCTGCCGCTCGCTGTGCTCTCGCTGGTCTCCGCGGGGCGCGCTGGCGCGCTGCTCGCCGCCAGTGGATCCTCTCTCCTCTCCTCCTCAGTCTCAGTCGCAACGGGTCTCGCCCCGCCTCGCCGCGAGTTCTCTCGTGCCGGCCGCCCCGCGCACCGCCACTGCCGGCGTCGCGTCGCGCGCACCGCACTGTGTGTGCGTCGCCTGCGCCGTGGCGCGCAGCTTCCACCGGCACGGCCAGCACGCCCTGCACGCCCAGCCCACGGCCGTGACCGCGAGCCCCGCGAGCACGGGACCTCGCCGACGGCCAGCCTGTCTCGGACTACGGTCAGTGTGACAGTCCGGAGTGTGAGTGTGTGTGTGTGGGTTGGTGTCCGGAGTGCGTGTGCGTGGCTGCTGCGGCAGCCTGGAGGACGCCCCAGGGACTGCACCAAGGACTGCCCGGTGCACTGTAGGCCCTGCTCGCCCTGCTACGACACGCCAGGGCGCCGTAACCTAGCTGCGGGCAGCGAGCCGGCTCGTCGACGCCGCGCCCCGCGCCGCCCCGCGCCGCCCGCTGCGGGTACCTCCGGCTCCGGGACGACGCCTGCCCTGAGCGCCCCTGCCGCTGCGCCGGCTCCGCTCCGAACCGAACCGAGGAACCGGAGTCCGGAGTCGGGTGTCTGGCGGTCCGGAGAAGAGAGTCGGGTCCCCGCGCTGCGCCGCGCCGTGCGCCCCGTTGCCGCTTCGCCGTGGCTTGAGAGTCGGCCTGGCTGGCTCTGGCCGCCCCTGCCCGTCACAGCGCCTTGACCTAACCTCACTCCACTCCGGCCGTCCGGGCCGTCCGGGCCGGCGACGACAACACCGACGCCGTGGTGGTGCCGACGCGGCGCCGCGACGCCAGGCGACGCCCACTCGCCGACGAGCCGAGGAGACCGCCCCAGGGCAGGCGGCGTTAGACTGGGCCGCTCGCGGCCATTTTGAAAGTTTGATAATTTACCAACAACAACAATCGGGCCAGTACTTCTTGCCTTACTCACACGACGTCCTGACTGTTAAGTAAGTCAAATGACGCTCGAAGACATCAAGATGTGCAGCTCCATGATGGGCCGTTTTGAGTCGTTCAGAGACATCACGGTTGTGTCTCTGTGGGTTGGCGCCCTTAAGCGGCCCTTTTCAAATGGAACTATACCGTCGCCGTTTGTCTACAGAAATTGTTTTTAAATGTGTACCTCGGGTAATTGCGCCTGCTTAGCTAAAAATTCTTTTTTCGGAGCTTGGCAACGCTTGCCCCCGCACTGTTAATTTGTCCCTGCCCGCGCGGTCCGCGACGTGACATGACGCGACATGGCAGAGAGAGCGCCATTCATCCTCGTCATTTGAAACACGATGGCGCGGTTCAGTCTGTTTTGGTTGTGGTCATCTGGCGCTTTGGTCCAAGTCCGTTTCGCGCGGCGCCGCTAAACGCGCGGAGGGGGAGGGGGGGCATGCCGTTAAACAGCAGGACGTTCTCGAAATGTTCAATGCCACAAACTGGGACGGATGCTGCCCAGGGAACTGCCCACTATAAAAAATGGTGAATGAAAAGAGATGTTGAAAGCTGTTTAAAGCAAAGTGAGTCGACCAAAATTGGGCCACGTCCGCGTGCTCTTAAAGGCACCTGTACCCGAAGCCACTAAGGCCACGCCACGGCTCCGCCGCCCCGGCAGCCTCCATTCGGGTGGCAGGCCTAGACGCTGATTCCGAGCGTCGCTCTGTCTCTCTCGCACCTGTAGGGAGCGCCCCATAAGTGCGAGAGAGACAGAGCGGGCCGCGCCAATCCGCGCCAAAAAGAAAGGGGTGCGCTTTTACTGCCGCGCCGTGCCCGCTCCACTCCACCGGGCCGGGCCGCTAGACGCACCGCACCGCGTGACTACGAGCGACTCGGCCGGGAGTTGAGTGCGAGGCTATTTCCATAAATTTCCGCCGACCCCACATTTCTCCCGGCCGTGCCGTGCCGTGCCGTGCCACGCCGCGGGGCCGCTGGGCTCCGCCATCTCGCCGATATTCGCGGTTCCATTGACGGCTCCAGTTTTCTCGCGAAGGCGGTTTACGAGCGGCCCGGTGGTCGTGAGCAGCGCGGTCGTAAGGCCCCGACTGATTTGTGTCGATTCGTTAATTTCCGGACGATCGCCAACGAACCAGACCGAAGGAGAGGCGACATGACACCGTGTGAAACGTGTCTCTCTCTCTCGCACACCCCGGAGACGCCCCACGAGTGCGACGGGGAGGACAGCGCGAGGGGCCGACACTTC